CCTGCTGATCTTTAGCAGCATCTGCAAGTGCAGTATGCAGTATTTTTACTTGGGACGTTACCTTCACTTCTCTGCAGCGCACACTCTTTTCTTCATCTATGACTTACATGCACCAGAGCGTTACATAATCCAGGATAATTAGAAGAAGATTTTGGAGAAAGGAGTTCGAGCTTTGAAAATCTGCAAAAGAGTTCCAGCATACTTGCACCCAGATCTTCAAAACACTCAAAGACTTGGTCTTATGATAGCTAATAACTCTGTTTTCTTTCGAGTGCAGTATTTTCGCTTTCTGTGCACGTTCTAAAAATATCTAAAGATCTAGGGCTTTAAAAAATGTTCTTAATGTTTTTGATCTCTTCCAGAATATGTTATTATATTTTTGGTGGTACGGTCTTGATTACAGTGTATCAAAATCTTTACCTGTCCAAGCGAAGTACGTTATCGCAGAGCAGAGGCAACGAAAAGGACTTCGTGGAATGTAAATGCGAAGAGACTAATTAGCAAGTCTTAGAAGAACAAAATGCGAGCACGGTTATTTAATCGGGGCTTTAGAGCAGTAGGAGACGCGGTTGGGCAAAGCCAACTCGCTGGCAGCACAGACGGTGCGTGCTGCTGTCGCCTGAGCGTGATGGCAAGCGGTGATGAGGGAAGAGCAGAGCTCCTTCACTCCCCTTTGCTTTGCAGAGGCTGGAGCTGCTGGTCAACTTGTCTCTACCTGTCCCTATGCTTAATTTCTTACCTGCATAGCTCTTCAGCTAAAGAAAAGATTAGACTAATGAAACCTTCTGTAAGACCCTCCTCATTTCATTTTGAAATAGCTGCACATTGGAATATAGTCTAGTATACAGCGCAAGTAGGAACCTCATTGTGTATATTAATAAAGACTTCAAGTTATAAGGAAGGAAAAACTTCAGATTTCACCCTGAAACTACTTAGACATTCCTCATAGCCTGCGTCAAAGTGTTGACCCTTCCACTTCTGCATTCCCTCATCATTTTCTAATAACGGTACATGCTGTGAAGATGAAGAGCCTGCAGCAGGTCCCAGGTGCTGAAGTCCCTCTCCCCACCTCTAAAGGAGCCCTCTCCTTTCACCTAGCAGAAGCAGCAGCTTCTTTATTGGAATGAGCAAGGCACTAATACTGTCCTCAAGAAGAGGATTGTGCTGACCAGGACAACTGCTCCTCATTCAACAGTGGCAGATGTAGAAGACTCAGTATCTCTGATGCAGTTGTATCCTCCAGCTCAGGAGAAAAAAGAGAAATATATGCTGTCGGATCAGCAAAAGGCACGAAATATGCTTCCTCTCTCCGTAAAGTCCTTCCAGATGGTAAGGCTTGATGTGCTGTCCCAGCAACAACTCCTGTGATGGCAGCTACATCAAAGAGCTCATAGGCAGGGAAAGCCAAATAGCGTCTCCCCTGTAATGAACTTCAGAATTCAGGAATGATGGAGGGGTCAACAGCAGCCCGTGCACCAAACGGCAGCAGCTTCAGAGACAGAGAGCAGTCCAGCTCAGGGCCACATTAATAACATTTTCCACCATGGCAGAGTCTACGCCCCCCTGCCGCAGAGCGCTGATGGCCTCAGTGGGGCTGTTCAAACACTTACAGTCACACAGATGATGAAGTGCTGCCTTGGAGTACGGCCCAGTGGTCTCCAGACATCCGTTCTGGGGAAGGTGGCTGGGTGTTAAATCCTTATCTTGGAGATGTTTGCACACGGAATGGGGCGGTGGAGAGCTTGCGGGTGGCAGCGGACATCTCTGGATCCAGTCCTCCTCCTGCTGGAGAGCTGAGTGTGGGGGCATGGCAGAGTCCTTGACATTGGCTTCTAAATCACAGGTGGAATGCTTTTTTCTAAGTGCTTAATTTCTTTCTGCAGAAATAGTAACTCTTTAAAACCACGCTGTCTTGCCCTCCCCGTTCTTGTTGAAACGCTGCCAACACGAGCCTGGTTTCTGCAGGCATCAAAGGGCCTGATGATGGTGGTGTTTGGCTCCAGCACTGGTGACTTTTGTGGCTGACACGAACAGACGTCTGAGGAGGTCTGAGGGTCTGTTGGTCCCTCAGGTAAAGCCGTGCTTAAGACATGTGAATTCTGGGGTTTTTTGTATTTCCATTCCTCTGGTGCCTCACAGTGAATGAAGGTGGCCCTCTGCAATTCAGCATCTGTGGAAGAGGCCTGGTACTTGCTGTGGCAGGGCAGAGAGGGAAGCTCCTAGCCACTGGTGTCCTGCAGCATTTGGTCTTTCAGACCAAGAAAGATGGGTTAGGTGTGCTCAAAGATGGGTTAGGAATGCTCGGTCCAGACTGCACAGTGCAGCTGTATCTCACTTGAGCAAAGTGAGGCCAAGGGCCCTGAGGTGGTCCGCTCTATCAAAAGGCAAGTAAATGTTCTCTGTTGTTTAAACCATGAGTGTCTCCCACTCAGAGATAATGGATGGAGAGGATCGGAGGATGAAGACTGCTGGATCCCCCAAGGGAATGTAGCAGTGTCGTCCTGGTTGCAAAGCAGGTTGACCATCCCATGACGTTTTTACAAGACTGCTGATGAGGAGCCCAAAGACGGACCCTTGCAGAGCGCTAACACGCTACTCAGTAGGGAGGAGAAGCTTCTTGGTCATCTTCTCGCCTTGCTAAAGGCTTTTGGAGGGCCGTGGTCAGATCAGTCCCATCTCCTGCCACGTGTGCAGCACTGATGCAGGACTCCTGGAGGTGTCTGCATAACTCAGACCCCACCGTATTTCCGTTCTCATGTTACTGACCAAATTTCTGGGGGGCCAGCAGAGCCCTCACACCACAAATAGTCACTGTAGGGCTTTTCCGCCGATGCGTTGGCTTTCTCCGGAGTCTGAGAATGTGCACATATTGGTAGCGTTACTGCGCAGAGGTGGCTTTTTGGTATTCTCCAAATGCTTTCTTGGTTTGCTGTGACTTCAAAAGCGTCCTGGGGGCAGGTGCTGCCAGAAGCCGTCTCTGATAACAGGCCTGGGACAATTTCCACTGGCCTAAGCACAGCCGGCAGGGAGGTGGACCAACCCCGTGTGGGGCGACTTGCATCTCCCCGCAGCTCAGTGAGCAGACTGGATGGCAGACAAAACAACCCTTCTTTTTTTTCCTCTTTTGCCATTGTTTCCATAAATACGCTCAACGCAGAGCAAAATGTGAAAAATAGCTGGTGATCCTTCACATGGAGAATATCCTACCATGTTCCCAGGCAGCCGAGCTACCGTGGGACCGTCCCAGCAGTCCGGCTTTTGCAAAAGCTGCGACTGGCAAGAAGCGAACGAGCTTGGCTTTCGTTGCTGCGTGCAAGACATCTGGGGGTGCAGCGGAGGAGACCCAGAGCTGCAGCCTGGAAACAGCCCCGCGGGAGCCGTCCTTCCCGCTCCGCTCCCCGCAGCGTCGCCGGCGGGATGGCAGTAAAAAAATTGAACGGGCATTTCGTCGCGCATCTGCGAGCTAGTCTTGTCTTCGTATAGTTGTTGGGGTGAATGTGGTAAAAGCCAACGCTTCTCACTTTTAAATTAGGACGTGATCTCATATAGCAATGACATGGGATGTCTGCAGAGTGCCTCGCCTTGCCTTTGGCCTGTTTGCACATTTTCGAGGGGAAAATATAGAGGATGGTGGTCCTGAGAAATATTTAGCGTTTAAGTACATGTCTGTAAGTCAGCAGCTGGATGTTGAAGGTCTGTTGTTAGTTTTGATGAGACAGGGTTGATCTTATAGTTCCCCAGGGAAGCTGCTGTCAGCGTAACCTTACCCTGGCAGTCCTGGGCAGGCAACTTGTGAACATCCCGTTATTAAACATCCTTCTTTATTGTGGGGGTTTTTTAATTTATTTATTTTATAGAATCATTGAATGATTTTGTAAACCTTTTTACTTCATCTGGGATCAGTTTCCTCCAGCAATTAAAGAGGAATACTGATAGCCATGGTGCTGGTAGGAAATATTGGTAGGAGACACGTGCAAATTTACAGTGCTTGAGATGCCAAATGTGCTTCTCTGTTACTGCACCGACCCTTTAGCAGTGCAGAGCTGTTGCAAATGGTCGTCTTTTGAGTGTCGTGTGGTTGGATGGGCGCTCGGTAGCGGTGATGTTACAGTCGCCGGTGGGGTCCCAGCCCTGGTGCTGCAAAGATCAGTTCTACAATGTAATGCGTTTAAAATGAACACATTTAAATTTAACGCATAAATACGCATTTAATACATATCAATAACTTCTTTATAAAACGTGGCGATCTCTTTTCCTGGCTGTCCTCCGTGCTCCTGAACACGGCTCCTGTGTGTCTCCGCTAGGTCGACAGCGACACGATTTGGAATGAAGTTCACTCGTCCGGTGCTGCTCGCCTGGCTGTGGGCTGTGTCATCGAGCTTGTTTTCAAAGTAGCCACGGGAGAACTGAAGGTTGGTATGAAAATAACACTTCGCTTCGATAGAGGCTCTGTACAGGGCTCAGCTCAGGGCTGTGTGATGCAGGAGGTCCAGTTAGCTTCATTTTAATGGCACCATCTGGCTTTAGTCATAAAAATCTTTGAGGATATCGGCAAGCGAACAACAGACTCCTGGTGAATGTTCTTACGCACTGATTAAAAGAAAGAAAGAAACCAGACCAGCAAGTGAAATCACTCTTTCAGTGTTATCTGAGGGTCTTGCTGTTGCCTTCAGCTGGGCCAGCCTGTTTGCTGTTTCAGTGACCTCATGCAGAATAGTATTTTTTTTTTTTCCCCTGAATGGAAGGAAATGCAGTACCAGCCAGTTTCCATAAAATTCATGTGTCCTTTTTTTCCCCCCTCCAAAACAAGGGAGAGCATCGTCCACTGCTGTGGTCTTGTGAGAAAACCATCGAGAACAACTGCATAGCTTGCAAAGCAGATTTAGTGCTTTTGGCTGCACCCTCTGCATCCGTCTTTGTGCAACAAACCTCCCGTTCTGTCTCACCTCTTCCTTGTCTTATTTTTTGCGTGTAGAATGGATTTGCTGTTGTTCGGCCTCCAGGTCACCACGCAGAAGAGAGCACACCCATGTAAGTACACGTCCGTGCTTCAGCAGCTTGCTTCAGTCTTCGTCTGTTGTGTGATCTGCAGCTGGAAATTAGAAAGGTCGTTTGTTAGACTATTATTGCCAATTTCTTGCTTATTGATGTGCAAGACACACATATTCACAGCTCCCAGTAATTCTCTGGAAGAGGACAGGGGGGATGGACTAGCTGACTTCTGAAGGTCCCTTCCAACCCAAACTGTTCTATGATTCTATTATAAGATGCTGCTTGGTTTGGGGTGGGTATTTTTTAGCAAGAATCAACATTACAGTCATGCTTTGAAAAAGCCCTGATGCTTTTATTTGCTTTACTCTTGTGAATTCTTTCAAATTAAACGTTGATGGCTTGTCTAATGTGTGGAAAGCAAGAGTATGTAACTAAGAGTAGCGGCAAACATCTCTCTGTCCTGGGGTCACTGAGCCAGGAGAGCGTCAGGGTGGGAAGGCTTGGCGAAGCGGACGCTGAAGTCGGGCATTTCGCGTGTGTTTAATATAGCAGGAGTTTGCCATCCGGCCCTGGCTCCTGCCCCTTCCTTTCCCCCTCGCCGCGTCCCCTCCGTGTCCGCTCCATCCCGCAGCGCTGGAGGTGCCGTGGGCTTTGGGCAAGCGTGAAATGTCCCCCGTTGCCAGAGAGGTCACAGGACGCCGGCTGCTGCGGGGCTGAGCACACGTGCATCTTCCAGGGAGGAAAGAAGAGTGAAAGCGGAAGGAATTCCTTCCCGCTGTGATATATCTCGATGATGGATGCGTTGGGACCAAGGAAACCTGTAATTAACACCTCTCCTTTTCCTCCAGGGGTTTCTGCTATTTTAACTCCGTTGCAATCGCAGCCAAGCTGCTCCAGCAAAGACTGAACGTTAGCAAAATCCTTATAGTGGACTGGGTGAGTAAACGCCGGTTCTTGCCCTTCAGGAGAGCAGGTGGAAATTATTCTGGGTTTTTCTTTTCTTGCAAGGGCAACCTTGGCTTTGTAAGTCAGTGAACAAAATACTGCCTGTGGTCTCCAAGCCAAAATTTGTTTTTAAAAGTTTTGGGGTTTTGTTTTTTGGGTTTTTTTATTAAAGTATTTTTACTAAAAGAAATATTTCTTAAAAGGTCTGTAGTTTTCAGAATAAAAATGTGATTAAGAAGGAGCTCCTTTCTAAAACAAGCCCATAACACAGTCTCAAGGGGCGGGTAACCGCGAACCGTGCTGAGTTTTGGTTATTTTTTTTCTGAGGGTTTTTGACCTTAAGTGTTACAATCCATCCCAGCTTTATTTTCAAGAGGTGGGGACCGGTCACTGGGAGGCACAGGCTGTCTGACACAGCTTGGCCATCGGTCTGGATGGCCTCGGTGTCCTGCCTCTGGGCCAGCGCAGCCTCCGTGCGAGTGGGCAGGTGGTCAAAAACGATCTCTAAATTGGAACAAGACAGGGAAATACTCTGCAGACAGCACAGCGTGTTTGAGAAGGAGCTTGTTCGGGATTTTGCTGTGGCGATATATAGATTTAAAAATGTGGCTGGTAGATTTTTTTTTTTTTTTAAATAGATTTAAAGATGTATTTGTGTGGCTGTGAAGGCATTTTAGTTGCTGGGTATCAGCCAAGAGTTTTGATTATATTGTCACAATCTCCCATGGGCTAGACCCACAAGTTAAAATGGATGTATTTGTCATTTTGACCTACTGGATGGGCATCCTTTTCCTCACTTCCCACCAACTATTTTTCATGTCAGAAAGGGGCATTTTGAATACCCGTCCTGTTACAGACTGCATTTCTGCACCAAGAAGCAATGCAATAAGGGATCTGGGTAATGGGTTTCTGTCGGTTAACCTTGTTGGGTCCAACACAACTTTGCTGGGCTCTTGTATCAGTGGCCGCCCCACAGACCAATTAAAGGTGCAAATTTGGGGTAGCTAATATAGGCTCTCCATCCCCCAAGATGGAGTATGAACCCAGTTCTCTTCATCCAAGTAAATTAATCCTGTCCTCAGGATATATGCTTGGGATTGTGTTTAGCCCCATTTATCCCGTGTGTTAAACACGGAGCGTAACCTGAAGCCAGCTCTGCAAAGCAGGTTACTCTCATTTGTGATAAACTGCTGCGGCTCCATCAGAGGGGCACAGAAAAACAAAGCACAACAACCAAGAAAACCCTTCTGAATCCCGAGTTGATGGCTTTAAGCTGCGTTTTCACGAAGGCGCTAACCCCCCTCATGTAATGCAATCTCTGTCCCTGAAGGATGTTCACCACGGGAATGGTACTCAGCAAGCTTTCTACAACGATCCTAATGTTCTTTATATTTCACTACATCGCTATGATGACGGGAACTTCTTTCCAGGCAGTGGTGCTCCCGACGAGGTAAGAGCATGGATTGGTGCAGCGTCCGTCCGTGTCTGATACGGCCTGCTCGGGGCTGTGATTCAGGTGCTCGCCCAAAATCTCGGGGAAGGGGTCTCTGCCAGGCGAGGCTTGAAAAGAGAAGCTCCTGCCACGCTCGTGCTTGTTAGTGCCCTTTTGGGAACACGCTTTGTGCCTTTGGTGCCTTCTCGTCCGAGTCCCAACAGCCGTGGGCGTTGCGTCCTGCCCCGCGAGCTGGCAGGAAAGCACGCGCCTCGGCTGATGAGCAGAAAATGAGTCAACGCAATGAGGCTCTCCAGCCCTTCTGGGACTACCTGTGTCTGGAGGAGCCCTTTGCCGGCTGTCCCGGCACTCTGTGTACTTCTCAGGATTTCCCCCTTACAGGCATAAGTTGTTTCTTGGATGCAGGAGCAGCGGGTTGTCCGTGGCTGTGCCGCCGGCGCTCCGGTTGCCTGGCACAGCCTTGGAGCTCGTCCATCCAGCCCCCCTTCTCCTGGCCCTGCCGAGGCATCGCTGGCCGCCACTGCTGCGTTCCCATCGCAGTGGTGGGATTTGAGTACCGGTCACTGATGCCGCTGGTCCAAATCCAGCAGTTCCTGGTGGTGTCCTCGGAGCCCGCAGCAGAAGGGCTGGGCCAGTGACGGTGGGAAGCCTTTCTCCCTGAACTCTGGAGGGATGCTCCTACATCCATCACGTCCTTCCTTCTAGGTTGGCAGTATTTCCCAAATATTGTCCGTTCAGAATGATTTATCAAAGGGAAGTTCTATGAAATACTTAGTTTTGTGTACTCTGAGGCACTCCAGATTACGTCTGAAAACTCCTGGAGTTCTTTCCCTGTGAATTCTACATTTTCCCACTCAGCAAAGATCGCTGTTTCTATTTCAATGTCTAAAGAAGGTTAAACGTGGCGGGATACTGCTTCGTTACACTGGTTGTGTGCTACTGCTGTACTGAATAAACGGCCCTTTGCATCAGGCTTGATTTCTGCTCCAGGATAACAAAGGTCTCAGACCTACTTTTTTCCTGACCTTTTAATAATCTAGTAATCTGGCTTACAAAGTATCTAGTATTGTAAGGAAACACTAGACTATAGCATCCACCCTGGATTTACCATTTATAGTAATTTTTAGATGTGTTGTTCCAGACCGAATAAAACAAAGAATACAAAATAAATTCAATTAAAGCCACAGATGGATAAATAACCCACTGTGGATGGGTGAACCCGCTGTGTTTTTCTACCAGCAGTTTTTGCACCAATACAAGGAAGAATGTACAACAAATGCCCTGCAGCTTTATCTAGCCTGAATTATCTGGCTTTGTATTGTATAACACATTAATTTTCTTTTTTTGTTGTTGTTGGTTTTTTTTGTTTGTCATATGCAGAGACCTAAAAAACCCCACAAAAACCAAACTGTGTGTGTAGGAGCTGAGAGCCCTGCGCGGAGCAGCCGGTTGGCAGCAGATATGGCCCGGCTCCCGCGCTGTCCCCAGGGTCCCGCAGCTCACGGCCACCGCGCTCACGGCCACCGCGCTCAGCCAGCTGCGAGGTCCCCGCTTGATGAAGGGACTGCACACAGGCTTTTGGGTTTCGGTGTGGATGGGGAAAACATGGCCCTGCTTCTTGTCAAATGAATTACCGGAAAACCCTGGGTTATTTTTCAGTTTTCCCCTTTCTCAGGTATTTGCAGTCAGTGCAGATGGGGACATTTGCAGTACATGCAAGGACGGGGATGTACTTACCTTTGCCACCCACGTGTCCCTCAAGCAGCGAAAATCTCTTCTCAGTGAATGATATTTTTCCCCAGCAGAGGGGGAGCTCGCTCTGATTAAAACTGTGGGTTTTTTCCCCACGTTGCGACTGCTAATGAAATATAAAATACGCTTCTGAGAAAAGCTGAAAACTAAAGAAAGGTATCGCATGTAACGCACTCTCCCACAAGAGAGGAAGAGGTCCAGTGGACGATGAGGTGATTTTTGGGTCAGCAGCAGTCAAACACCACTGGTCTACAGCTCCCATAAAGATCGGAGCATGGAGGAGCTTTATTTTCACTCTTGTTTTGGGGACAGGGTCACTCTAGAGGGAAAAATTAACGTCGCTACCACCAAGCTATTGAATCAAAATCCACATTCAACTGGAAGAATATCAACACAGCAGAGATGTGATGCCAGAGTTCACTGTTTCCGTCTGTGTAATTAAGAGTACCATCTCCCTTTTCCAGGTTGGCACAGGAGCTGGAGTTGGTTTCAATGTTAACATGGCCTTTACTGGTGGCCTTGATCCACCGATGGGAGACACAGAATACTTAACTGCTTTCAGGTAATACTGAAGTTTTCCTCTTACAAACATATTTTTCACCTGAACTGGATTTCTTTTACCTCGTGCGGTCCTCTTTAATCTTGAGTTTCTCTCTTGCTAAGTTTAGAAATAGAAGATTTTCATCCAGTTGCAGTAACCTTTTTGCATGCCACCTGGAATAAAGCTGAATGAAGTAAATAAGGTATTAGTGGCCGGAGGAAGTCAGTCTGTGACGTTAGGGGATTGACATACTCACTGCTCAGCACTGATTGATGCGTGAATGTAACATGTAACCGATACGAATATGCTCTTCAGGTTTTGGCTAAAAATCTTTTGACCTCTGAGGTATTTCTATGGGTGAACCCACTTGGGTGGGGAAGGGAACCTGGAAAAACTTCTTAACAAGTCATCATGAGTTGAATCGTGGGAGTGCAGCTGCCCCAAGGCTTGAGACATGTTTACTGTGATGGAGATGATGGTACCCAACTTGTTGCCTCCCTGCAAGAGCTCTGCTCGCACCTCCCACCCCAGCTCACTCCCAGGTGTACCTAGCAAAGGGGCATGGGCTTGTTTTGATAAGTTTTAGAGTTTATTATTATTATTCACCAAAAATATTGAATATGCCTGTTCCAACCAACTGGAAAATTGAACTGACTGAACTGTTGGATTTGTGCTTTTCTTCCTGGGTTCTGGTTTCTCCTCAGAAGCAGCATGTTGTGTGTTGTGAGTAAAAATATAACCATCTCTTAAATAAGTGTTACTCATCGCTCACTGTCAGCGTGAACGAAGATAAGCAAAGCTGTGGAGTGGAATTAATGCGTTGCTGGCATATCCTCCTTGATTAGCAGTAATAGCAAAGCCAGATACAAACCACTGTGCTGGCTTGTACAAGCATATTCAGGCATGCTCCAAAAAACTGGCATCATTTCAGTCTCCAAATGGAGCAGGGGATGAAGGCACTTGTTGACTCCCTTGTTCATGTCCTGCTGGTCTTCCTGTCCTGCTCACGGAAGGATACGATACCTGGGGATCACAGGGAGGTGTCTGCAGGGACTCGTTTGATCTGACCCTTACTTTCCTCCTCATGTCAGCCTCCTCAGAAGAGGTGCGTGAAGCAGAACACACGTTAGCTGATCTACGGTCGTGCACCCCCGGGTTGTGGTCTCTGTGAGCAGTGTCACCACGGGAGCACTGCGAGAGTACGGGTCAAACACCATCTTGCTGCTCTGAGCAGCTAACGGGCAAAATAACCCCAGTGGGGCGATGGTATGTCCTTGGCATTTTGGGGACTCGCCGCAAGCCTGGAGTGATGTGTTTGCCTCCCAGAGCTGCAGAGAATGCGAAAAGGAAGGTATTAAAATGAACAATGGAAGCAACAGACTAACAAGATGAAACGGAGGCAGATCTCTGGGTAGAGAACTTCTGAGTCATGCAGTAGTGAGTAGAGGCCAGTGTGAGACCACACTTGCCTTTCTGATACTCTTTCCAGGGGAAAAAATACAATTCTGTGACCTGCTGGATATATCTATCTATCTATATATATCTATATATCTCTCTCTCTCTCCTTCAGGTTATGCCAGGGGAGGTTTAGATTGGATATTAGGAAAAATTTCTTCACCGAGAGAGTGGTCAAGCATTGGAACAGGCTGCCCAGGGAGGTGGTGGAGTCACCATCACTGGAAGTGTTCAAAAAACGTGTGGATGTGGCGCTTCAGGACATGGTTGTGGGGGCATGGTGGTGTTTGGGTTAATGGTTGGACTTGATGATCTTTAAGGTCCTTTCCAACCTTGGTAATTCTGTGAGAGAGAGAGATATATATATAAAAAAAAGATATATATCTTTTTCTTAAAGACTGTCCTGTTCCACCCCCTGCCTCCCCTGTGCTGTGGGTCCAACTGGCATCTTTTTTAACAATTATGGGTTGAAGTGGTTTTCTGTCCTCAAACCAGATCCAGTGCAGTTCTGACGACCACCCCGCGTAAATTCAGGGAGACGCACACTTGCCAAAACATAGGGTGCGAGTTTCTGGTAACAGGCAGATGGAATATCGCCTTCATGGAATAGCATTAAGCCTGGGAGCATTATTTTCTGTTCTTCCCTGTGCGCGTATTTATATTCCATTATACTAAGCAAAAAGAGCTTTTACTCTTCAGCCTGCCATTAAAAAGCCTTCAAAGAATGTATACAATTTAAAATAACATCTAGTCAAATAACTGTCATTTGTCTCGACGTTTTATTCCTGTTACAGGAAAGCAGCACTTTCCTCCAAAGTGGAAGTCTGTTTATCCCAGCAGTCAACAAGACTGATCTCTTCATTATAAAGAGAACCTGTAGCTCACGACGGAGCGACGTACTTGCTATTAAATATTAATTGAGTTTCAAGGCTCCTGGAAAATTGCTCAGTCTGCACAGTAAGACCTTTGCCAGCCATTCCTTAACAGGCGCTGGTGTCTTTTTGCCCGGAGACTACAGCTATTTGGGGAACATATTTTGGAGCTGGTCACAGCTCTTCCTTTGCCGGGGTTTTGGGATGTTGTGACTCGTCCCTCCGAGGTAGCACCTCCCGTAGCTTGCCTCATGTGCACACCTTCAGTCAATAAGTTAAATTGGAAGCTTTTTTTTAATCCTATGCCAAGTTTGGTCATGATAATACATTATCAAGTGACCTTTTTAAATCTTAACCAGCTTCTTTGAAAAACATTTTTGCCCCCCCACCCTCCCCGAATCTTTCTGTTGATTTTAATGTAAAATAACGCTTTGAAGTTTGCAATTTATAGTCCCCCGAGAGTTAGAAAGTGAAGGGAATGGGTCATATATCCTTTTTTTTTTTTCCTCCTTCTTCTTTTCTTGCGTTAGCCCCTTGAGACAATGCATGCCTTCAAGGCAGCACCTTGTTATTCCACCCCATCGAATGCCACGTTGCATTTGCTGGGGATCAAACCTAAGATGAAGAAAAGATAAGAAAATTGGCCATAATGAACTCCAGAAGCAGCAGGCATTTTCACCATGAACTTGGAAACTCACAGTGGAGAACTGAGCTTTAATTCAAACCAGTCCAAATGCCAAACTGTGAGGCTTTGAAGTCTGTAGAGGAATCAGTGGAAATCCTTTGAGCTAGGCAAAGATACTGATATACTTTTTCTTCTTTTTTTTTTTCCTTTTTTTTTTTTAAGCCTTAACTCTTCACATGCTTGTCTGCTTTTAGGGAAAAAGCCCTCTTGCTATGTAAAATGAGCGGAAGAAAAACAAGCAACGTGCTTTTCATTTCTTTTTGTTGTATTTAAGGATGAGCTGGTGTATGGATTTGATAAAAGCATGTGCTCTAATGAAATACTAACTAGGATAATTGTCCTCATAAATTAGTCTTCTGATGAGTGAATAAATAAATCCCAATGAAACCTATCACCCCCCCACTGAAAACCTGTTTCAGTGTCATTTTACTCTTTCCGAAGAAAGGACGGACACTTGCATCGACGCTTTTTCTGCTGGGAATGTCTTCCATGCACATTGCCTTCCCCCTCTTTGCGGAACGGCGTCGCGTTGGGCAGGGTGGCCTGACCTCTTCATGTTTATTAATACCACCGAGCCGTTTCAAAAGTGAGAACAAGAGTTAAAAATGCGAAGCGGAGAGCAGCCTTGCCGTGCACTTTGTCACTTATTGTCTTCATAACCGAGGGCTGAAATCACCGGCTGCCCCGTCTCGAGGTTGGGGTGATATCATGATTGCTGTATTTTTTTTATATATATATTTTTTTCTTTTTTTTTTTTTTTTGCAGGGGGG